ATTCCTGCTATAAATCAATTTGTTAACGAAATTACATGAGTATGATATATTGTTGAAATCAACAAATTACATAATTGTCAAAGGAAGGAAATAACGTAATAATAGATCTGATAAAACTTGCTCATCTTTTATTCTTCACTGGGAAAATGCATTCGTCCTCTGATATGGACATTGCTGGGACTCCTCCCTCAGGAGAGGGGAAGGGGCAGGATTTGCCACAGCTGGCAGCGAGGGAGAGATGCCCGGCATGGTGGCGCATGAGATGCGAGTTCCCTGCTCCTATCTGTCCTCTGCATTGACAGTCAGTGTGATGTTATGGCTAGTATGGTAGATGAGGACCCCGAAGGTCTGGGTTAAGATTCCTACTCAGCCATGAAGCTTACTGACCAAGGGCCGGTTATAACCTACGTCACAGAGTTGCTGCGGGGGCTGAATATGCTACCCTGAACTTCTTGGAGAAAGGGAGGCCTAAAAATGAGATTAACAAGCCCGAGCCTGCCATGATCACACCACTTCTTGAACAACACACTGAATTCTCCAGGCCTTCAAATCGGCCTTGCTAATTAAGAACACAAAAATTAAAAGTCCCCAGAGAGACTTCTCGGCCCATCTAGCTTAGTCACCTGTGCCTTGAAAGAGACAACAAACCAACTGTACTAAAGCGTCCCCGCCTGAAAGCAACAGGCAACTCAGAGATACACTGCTCCAGATAACATGCAAATGAAGGAAATGCATACACGGTGGCATACTTTGATCGCAAACTTGTTGCCAAATACAGCCGTGGAGATTGAGTTCCTTCCCACGGCTGTGCTTGGCAGGTGATAGATTTTCCTCATTGGGATCAGTGCAGTTCACAACACGCACAGGAGGAAGCCAGCGGTACCTGCTCCGTGAGCCAGCCAACGTGCTTGATGTCTCTGCCTCCCGCCATGCCTGCTCCAGACTGCAAGACTCTCAGCTCCTCTTTAACTCTGGGCAACAGGGCACTGATGTTGCTGTGGATGGCGTTGAACCACGTCTGGGCAGATACTTCATCCTTCGCCCGAAGAAACAAGGGAATCCGCCCATCTGCAGAGCACACTTCAAGGTACCTGCATGAAAAAGTCTACTTAGCATGAGACTGAAACCCTGCTAGGCAGCCAACAGGATTGCTATTAGAGCAGCTGCAAAGTTTCACAAAAGTCCCTCCTGAAGGTATGATCTGAACCAGGGCCCCAGGACAGACTACCAGAATTCTAGGTCTATACACTATTGAATGAAGAACCTACACACTACTGAATGAAAACCCTTTTGCTGTTTACATGTAAGAAAGGCCAACTTGCCAGTACCTACATGAAGGGGAAGAATGGAGCCCCAGTACATACTGAACGGACCAACTGCAGGATATTTTCCCCCCAGTCTGACACCGTTGGTCCACCCTGCCCAGGATATCAGAGCAGTCTGCCCTCTGCACCTGCACCTCGCTGCTAGCTCTGCACACAACTCCGAAAGTGCTAAGTGCAAAACTCACATGGATTCTGGGGAAATAGCTGATTGGTCTCAACCAGTGATTCTTAGCAGGGGCAACTTACAAATCTTGGTGGGGGACACTCCGAAGTTTGAGGGGGGCAAATGGTAGCATTTGGGATTTTAGATGGTCTCTTCTCACCTCTTGCAATGGCTTCTGATAGGAAGCAAAGGAGAGCTGTTTTACCCTGCTCATCCAACACTAGGCATAAAATCCCAGATCAAAGATTTCTCCCCTTAGTTCCTTTAAAAAGTGGCACACAGCATATAGGAATCAAAACTTAACACTATGAAGTTGTTTGGTGGACATCTGACACAAGAGTCTCACTAAATGTATGGCTCATATGCACATATTGCATAAATATAAAGTTGCTTTGAATGACATTTTCATGGCCTAATTTTTCATTTTTTTATCATCCTGTTCGCCAGTTCAAGATCCTCTTGGGTCTCCACCCGGCTGAGCTCTCCCATTCAGCTGTCCATCTGGCCAGACATGGGCCCCCTCTTTTTCAGCAGCTGCTCCACCATAAAGAAATGCCTTGTCCCCGGAAGGTGTGGAGGGCCCCGTATGGTGTCTGTTTTCCATAAGAATCATACAGTTGTTCTTCTAAAGCAAGTATTTTGCAGTTAATTTTATAAGGAGGGAAAGTTGTATAGCTTTGTTTTTCTTTTATGCTTTTAAATCTTTGTCTGTTACCTGGAGGACAGCTACCCTGATCTGCTACAGTCAGTGGGGAAAGTGTTGTATAAATATTTTAATAAATAAATAGATGGGAGCATCTGATGAAAACGTTGGGTACCTGAACAGTGCAGCAGTGAATTAAAGGTCTTGACCTTTTGGGAGAGAACGGCTTTCATACAGCCCTCCCTTCCTTATCAGTCAAAGACAACCATCCTTCTTCCCACTGAAGCTTTAACACATCATGGGCTAGCAAGAAGGAGGCTTTGGTCAATTTTCACCTATGAACCTTAGGAAGGGGGCTTGCCTTGCAAAAAAAGGCATGAACACCAGAAACACCCTGTGAATTTAAAATTAGCTATAAGCAGTACTTCTATTTTGTCTTCTGTTATATCCTCCCCCAGTTCCCCTCATATGTCTATCTATGTATTTATAACAAACTTTTGCAAATGCAATCCTTGTTTAGACTTGGTTTACTCCACTTCTGGTTGCTTCCTTAGGGCCAAACTTGACGTAACAGTGTCCTCAGGTCTGACCTGTGGACACCGATGCCATTTTAGCAATGAATTGGCCATTTAAAAATGCCATGATGGTGGACCCAAAAATAAGCAAAGCCGTGCACAATAGAAGATGCCAAGAGTACTCTTAGCTTCTATCATGCACGGCTTTGCTTGTTTTTTGTTTTTTTTTGGGGGGGTTGCTGTGTGATCACTTACTGTTTATGATGGTGGACCAGGCAATCTTGTCCCCCAAGTGCAATCGAAAAGGCACGGGGAGGGGGACACACACACAACAAGATCTGTCAGAGCTCTCTCAGCCCCACCTACTTCACAGGGTGTCTGTTGTGAGGAGGGGAAGGGAAAGGAGTTTGTAAGCCACTCTGAGACATCTTTTGGCACGGGGAGGGGGGGGCACACAACAAGATCTGTCAGAGCTCTCTCAGCCCCACCTACCTCACAGGGTGTCTGTTGTGAGGAGGGGAAGGGAAAGGAGTCTGTAAGCCGCTCTGAGACACCTTTGGGTAGTGAAGGGCGGGGTATAAATCCAATCTCTTCTCTTCTCTTCTTCTAGCCAGACCCCAACGGCTCAGAAAAAAAGCACGGTATGGGCAAAAATCTCTACATAAAACCCTGGTGAACCACTGCCAGTCTGAGTAGACAATGAT